TCACCTTAACAGGTGAGGAAGGTGGATTGGAGAGCAAAGGAAGTTATCAGGCATATCAGGGAGGGAGAATTGAACAGCCAAGAATGGATCTCCATTCCTGCTCAGAGGGTATGGTCAGACAGATACTGACTGACAGGTTAGACACCCAAGCCCACTAGGCCACATGGTTTGTAATTTGGGCAGGTTACCAAATAAGGCTCCATTTCCTCATCTGTGGAGCTGGAGAGGAGTGGCTAAGGGACCTTGGCAAGTAACAGATGGAACCTTTAACACAAGGAAGGGCCCGCCAGCCCGTCCACATCCGCTTTAGCTACTATTTCCCAGGGCCAATACAGCCATTCCCTGAGGGTGACAAGGTAAAAGACCTTTGTGAGTACCCCAAAACTTGACGGCTCAGGACCTGAAAAGAACTGGAGTGTCTCTCTGCTCCTCACAAGCCGTTCTGCGATCGCCCTCTTTACAGGACCCTCCTCCTCCAGTCAAACAGAGCTGCCCAAATGGCTGCCCTTTGGCCCCTGCCACTAGCTAGCCCCCAGGGCAAGCCTGTGCTTCCAGGATTGGCTACCCTGACCACACCCACATTGGACCAGGGAAGAAGTCTAGAAAACCCCCTTGCCAGAGTCAGACCCATTTTAGCAGGGGTACAGAGGAGAAAGCAGTCTCTGGCCCTTAAAGATGGGGGGGGGGGGGCAAGGAAGAGCCAGGTGGTGAGGGGGGCACAAAGGCCAAACAGAAGGATCTGCATGTGACCCAGAACAGACTTGTAATGAAGGCCAGGGTTTGGGAGAGAGTATTCGGAATTAAGAACAAGAAAGGCATGAGGGTGAGGGCTGAGCTCTAGCAGACAGAGGGCTATCTTGCTTTGCTGCCCTGGTCCCGTGATAGCTCTGGTCTGTTAGCCCATGACTGTCCAGAAAGGCCAGAACATTATTGGGTTCAGGGTACGTGGGGTTATTGTCATTTATCACCTGGTAGCCTTCCTCCATAGCAGAGATCATGCCTTTTTAAATATATAACATTTTATTTTTATATCCATTGGTGTTTTGCCCACATGTTGTCTGTATGAGGGTGTCAGAAGCCCTGGAAAACTGGAGTTGCAGACAGGTATAAGCTGCCATGTGGGTGCTGAGAATTAAATCCAGGTCCTCTGGAAGAGCAGCCAGTGCTCTGAACTATTGAGCCATCTCTTCAGTCATGATATCATGGCTGTTTAATGGCCCAAGTCATATATAAATATTTTTGTTTGTTTGTTTGTTTTTGGACACAACTTTGCAGTGTTAGCCCAGGCTGCCCTAGAACTTACATACCCTAGGCTAACCTCAAACTCAGCCTCCCAAGTGCTGAGATTACAAGAGTATGGGGCACACCCAGAGTATGCACCTCAGCTAATGGCCAAGTGCCAAAGCTTTGTCCCTCTCTGGGCTCCGGTAGCAAGCCTGCACACACTGTCCACAGGCGAGGCTATGCCTCACTTCCCAGCACTGCCACTGCCCCAGGAGCACAGCGCGGCTCACTCACTGCTCATCAGCAGTGGCCACACTCCGTCTAGCAATAT